GCGCTGAAGAACTCGCCCACGATGATGACGAGCAGGATGAGCAGGAAGATGGTCTGCACTTGGTCCGTGTTGTAGATTATCTGGTACTCTTTGGCTGTAGTTGGGGCAGCGGTGGTCGTGGTGGTGGTGGTGGTGGTGGGTTGGGTGGAGTTTGGTCCGAGCTGGGTGGAGTTTGGTCCGAGCTGGGTGGAGTTTGGTCCGAGCTGGGTGGTGTTAGTCGGCTCAAAGGGGGCTGACATGGTTGTGTTGGCGTCAGCGCTTCGTTCGTGCCTGTGAAGCATTCTGAACTGGAGGAGCTCAGGAAGCTCAGGGAGGTCGAGGAAGCTCCGGCGTCGCCGGGGGTGGTTGGTGTTGTTGCTCGGTTGCGTGAAGTTGCCATGAAAGAGCGTCGTCGTCATCATAGGCGTCACCGTCGGCAATGTAGCAACGTCTTTTTCCTCACATTTCATCTCTGCTGGTTTCACGAAGCCGATGCCGCAGTTGAACATCAACCAGCAGAGCACAGAGAAGAGCAGGACGACCTTCCCCTTCTTGAAGCGGTCAGCCACCACGCCCCAGAAGGGGGCGCTGCAGAACTCGATGAAGTAACGAATGCCGACGAGCAGCCCGCTGCGGCTGGCCGACATGCCGAGCTGCTTGTAGTAGACGGGCAGCAGAGGGTGCAGCGAGCCGTAGGCGGCGTAGAAGAAGAAGTAGAAGACTTTGGAGATGAGCAGGTGGCTGTTGATGCGGAGGCACATCCTCTCGCAGCAGCTGATGGAGTCGGGCTGCGAGGCGGCGGGCTGGTCGGCCGGTGCGTCCGTGTAGCCCACAGGTGTCGTGGAGACGTCCACCTCCTGTCCGTCCACTGATAGGGTGTTGAACGACTCCGCCAACACGTACTTCCTCTTCTGGTCCTCCTCATCGTCTGTCAGGATGGCAACCTTATCGTCAGCTGGCATATCTGGAAGATAAGGAAATGAGGGTGAGCGGCTGCAGACGGAGACGAGTCAAAACCTGAAGCGACGCAGCTTCACGTGCTCTGCTCCACGGCATCATGTTTGGCTGGAAACCAAACACAGTCCTTTTATTACTGTGGAGATTTCCTAACATCAATCCCTCTCTACGTCTGCCATTAATCACACAGTCAATACAAACTGATCCGTCCAGAGAGGAACATCCAGTGAGATTTATACACTGCACACACTCAGTTCATTTAAAGTACCTTCTTACTTCACCTGTTGTCAGCTACTGACTTAATATCTGGGTGCTGCAGTATTTATGGGACTTTATAATATTCATGTTTTCAGATATTTCCAGGTTTATAACTTACAGAGTTGTGCATATAATATTAATTTGATTGTGTTTCTTGCTAAATAGCAAATTAATAAACCTAAATATAGTAACTGTGAGCCACCATTTTGTTATGTTTGATATTGAAATCAAACACTGAATTAAAAGTCATTGCACATTTTAAATAACCCTGAATGTCCCCGCACAGGCTCAGTGCAGGAGGACAGCTGACGCTCCCATGCGGAAGTGTTGACATCTTAAATAAAGCTACAATGCAACAAACCAAACTCCATTCATTTAAGTGCGAATTTAAGAAAACAAGCTACAATGCAACAAACCAAACTCCATTCATTTAAGTGTGAATTTAAGAAAACAAGCTACAAAGCAACAAACCAAACTCCATTCATTTAAGTGCGAATTTAAGAAAACACAATGCAACAAACCAAACTCCATTCATTTAAGTGTGGATTTAAGAAAACAAGCTACAATGCAACAAACCAAACTCCATTCATTTAAGTGTGGATTTAAG